TACGAGAGAGGGTGGTAGCATTTGATACTTCCGGTGCATATATATATATATATATATATATATATATGTATACATATACATATACACACAGACACAGACATATATAAAACTACGATGACCACAACCCACCGTTCATTGTGTACTAAAGTATATACAAAATGAATTCAAGATAAAAATCGAGTCTGGAAAGACAATCCAAAACTATGAGCCAAATACTAAGACAAAAGGACTGCATTATTATTGTCGCGACAAGTAGGGTGTAGTATTTCAGGATGTTAATAAATTGGGTCTGGACAAGTAAGCCGATACTGCTACAACAATTACCACTCACCGCTCGTTATGCGCCAAATTGGGCAGCGTCGATTCGCTTTGCGATGCATGGATACCCTTTGCGTGTGCACTCAACGACGGCTGCTGAGAGAGAGGGCAAACCAGATCAAAGACAACAACGCTTTAGTATGATATGATAATTAGGAATTGGGATTATGTATATGGAATCTGTGACCTGAAAAGATGAAAGAATACACTATGCGCTTTGAGATGCATGGACGCCCTTTGCTTGTGCACTGAATGACGGCTGCTGAGAGAGAGGGCAAACCAGACCAAAGACAACAAACAATTAGGAATCTGGAATCTAAATTCAGAATTTGTGACGCATCAGTATGGTAATTAGAAATTGTAAATATGAAAATAGAATCTATGACCTGAAAAGAAAACAGAAGGCACTTTTCTGATTCGAATTGAGCTGTTCGATGGCAAAGAGAACAATACGCAGCGAGTCAATATAGCAAGGGGATGAAAATATGGAATTGGAATTTCTAAAGTGCCAATTATATATATATAAAGACATACTTGTCCTCAGAAGGGGCCTGAGTATGCGTCTCTGATGGCGACATATTCACACCCCGCGGGTACAAATTCAAACTACAAGCAAACCATATCTCTATATATCACAGTAAACTACAGTACACCCGAACTCGAAACATTGTATATGTACACTACAAAAGCACCCTAAAACACTGAACGGATACACAAAACCCTACAACACAGATAAACTCAGTAGGCACACCATACACACCATGCCATCCACCTCATAAGTAGGGTGCTCGGCCTTGTCCTCCGAGGCTGAATCGGGCGGGTTTTGCTGTATGTCTACCGGAGCTGCTGTCGGGTGCAGTGGATGTAGTGGCACTTGGTCGCTGAGGTGTGGCTGTGGGTTCGGGTTGTGGCCTCGAGTACTGTGGGTGGATGGGGTGGATCGAGCACCAGGGATTAGATAGATAGATGGATGGATGGATATAAATTAGATAGATAGATTTATAGATGGATATAAATTAGATAGATAGATAGATAGATAGATGGATGTATATAAATTAGATAGATAGATAGATGGATGGATGGATATAAATTAGATAGATAGATAGATAGATAGATGGATATAAAATTAGATAGATTGATAGATGGATATTATAAATTAGATAGATAGATGGATGGATATAAAATAGATAGATAGATAGATGGATGGAAATAAATTAGATAGATAGATAGATGGATGGATGTAAATTAGATAGATAGATGGATATAAATTAGATAGATAGATGGATGGATATAAATTAGATCGATAGATAGATGGATGGATGGATGGATGGATGTAAATTAGATAAATAGATAGATGGGTATAAACTAGATCGATGGATTGATAGATGGATGGATATAAAATAGATAGATAGATAGATGGATGGATATAAATTAGATATATATATATATATAATAGATAGATAAATAGACAGATATAAAATAGATAGATGGATATAAATTAGATAGATAGATAGATAGATATAGATTCAATCACAAGCATACGGTTCTGTGTCGAGTGCCACCCACTACGTGTACGAATACCACAACCACAAACCTGGTTTACACTCCTGTGATTGGGTTTCTATACAACACGGATACCACAAATCTAGAGATGCTCAAACTACACAAATAAACCTGGTATACACACCTGTGATTAATTTTCAATACCATACGGATATCATACCTGGAAGATGCTCAAACTACACACATAAGCCTAGTTTACACACTTGTGATTAAGTTCCAATACAACACAGATACCAAACACCCAGAGATGCACATAAACTTGGTTTACACACCTGTGATTGCGTTTCTCCATAATACGGCTCACAGCCTCCTGGCCGCCTACAAAGTCTGGGTGGTTGGTGTTGATGTACGCCAACTCCATTCCAATCAACTGCTTGATCATCGCCTGTATGATATGAGTCATCAAATGCCCATCTCTTAACACACGTGCAACTACGCATATGTACTATCTCTCTAAACTACAAGCTGTCCTGGGTGGCTTAAGCCAAAGATCCGTACCAGAGATTAGTACACATACATTGGTCTATCTGGAGTTAAGGCATAGTATCTAAAAATAGTATATATTGAGTCAAAGATGAGTAGTAGCAACAAATAGTACAAATACCTGGGTCTAACTTGATCGTCTGACTTGATGGGAAGATTAGTATCCAAAATATAGTACACTCCAATACTACACATACCTGGGTCTAAGGTTTTAGGGTTTTAATACTACACATAACTGGGTCTAAGGTTTTAGGGTTTCAATACTATACATAACTTGGTCTAAAGTTTTAGGGTTTTAATACTACACATACCTGGGG